AGAGCCTAACATGAAACCTCACTTCATAGCAAGCACTTAAAAAAAAATGGACACTTTGTGTCGAATAGCCCATCTCCGGCGTCTCTTCTTCTCCACTGTCCAGGGCACACATCGACAATACTTACCCCCCTCAGAGGTGCAGGCCACTGGCTGGGCCGCGTGGGCGGCGGCGCGTTGTATCCCCGCACTGGGAACGCCAGAGTGGGGGAATCCCTTCCGGTCACGCGAGTCAGACCAGCCTGGCCCACACTCGGTGAACCCATCTCTACTAACAAATACACACAACTTCCGCTGCGCGTCGGCGCTCGCCCGTGCTAGCGACTTGGGCGGCTACGGCACGGCGCCATCTCGTCTGACCTGGGCGGCCTCGGAGGTTCGCAGCTCGGCTCACGCATCATCACCCCTGCCCTCACCTCGCGACAGCCAGACTCTTGTATCACACACCCAACACCAAAGAAAAAACGAAAGAAAGAAAAGTAAGAGAGAAGTCATAGCTATCAGATCTGCGCTTTAAAAAGAACTACAATCAAAGTTTTTCAGACAAAAAGAAAACTGCAGAATGAAACTGCAAAATCAAGAGTCGCAAAATGGGAAAATACATATCTGGAAAATCCGTTAATAGGCCTTTTCCTCGAGAGCTATTGAAACAGTCAATAGGTTATACAAAACTCAGTGATAAAAGTACAAGATACATACGCAATTTCCCAAGGGGTTTTTTTTTTTTTTTTTTTGATGGAAGTCTCCATCTGTCCGCCAGGTTGGAATGTGGTGGTGCGACCTCGGCTCACGCAGGCCTCGCCTCCTCGGCGTAGCGTTGTAGATACCGTACTTACCATTCATTCAGTAATACAGGCACTAGATATACTTTAACTTACGGTTCCCCAGATGCAAGACATTTACCCCAATAACTTGCTGTTTCCTGCTCCTTGGTGTGGACGTGATGTCCTCACATCCTCCCTTAAGTAAATCATACTCATTGTTTGTATTTTTCTCTGGCATCGCTTGTTCTTTGTAAATGACAAGGTTAGAAGAAATGGAGCCTCACTTTGTGAAGTTAAAGCACTCAAAGGCCTCTTGATATCAGATACATCCATCTGGCTTTAGTGTAAACATTTCACTAACCTGAGAAGGTACGAGGGGCTGATGCAGCTCCAAGCTGGATATCCACTACAAAAGAGGGAAGAATTGGAGATGACATACAATGAATCATATACCCTTACTGAGCTTTTCTAGTCTTTCATGCGCCAATGAAAATAATTTAATTCTCCATATTTTATAAGGCAGGGATCTTGTTTGGCACACTAATATACTAATGAAACCCCAGTAAGTCAAGAGCCACTCACCGCCCATTCAGGAAATGTATCAGAGAAAGGAACACATTTTTCCAGTATTCTTTCTTTTTTTTGTTTTTTGTTTGTTTGTTTTTGAGACAGAGTCTCACTCTGTTACCAAGGCTAGATTGCAGTGGCCCAATCTCAACTCACTACAACCTCTGCCTCCTGGGTTCAAGCAATTCTCCTGCCTCAGCCTCCTGAGTAGCTGCGATTGAAGGCATGCGCCACCATGCCTGGCTAATATTTGTATTTTTATTGGAGACAGGATTTTGCCATGTTGGCTAGACTGGTCTCGAACTCCTGACCTCAGGTGATCCGCCCACCTCGGCCTCCCAAAGTGCTGGCATTACAGACATAAACCACCGCGCCCAGCCCATTTTTCCAATATTCTTTCTACGCACAGGTGAATGTCTTAGGAACTCTGAGGGTTGCAACAATATCATATCATACTGTCTTACATAAATTACAGTCAAGGTAAATGTGTTTTAGACATGAACAATCAACATTTAAGGAGCAAGTTTTTATACATGTTGGTACCAGGACTTATAAGTTGATAGAAGATTTCACAACTGGAGCTACCCATTTGAAAATAATTGAAATGATGTTTCCCAGGAGGCCTTCAATGTGCTCTTATACTTTTATCTAAAATCCCTGATGTGGTTTAAAGTTCTGATGAATTTTGTGACCCCCTCTGTTGGTAGCAGCTCAGTCTCTGTGTCACCAACACAGAATGAATCTGATGACTCTGAGTCTCCCATTGACTATGAGGTGCAGAAATTGGGTTTCTGGTCATTCGACTTCCAGGAAGAGCATCAGCTTCATGGAACAGCACATTCACCGAGAGGCCCAGCCACCCACAGACTCCCCATGTCATCCAGAATTTCCCTATTAAGGAATCAGCATGCTCATGACAGCTGAAAAAAAATTTTTTTTTAGATGGAATTTCCCTCGTTTCCCAGGCTGGAGTGCAGTGGCACCATCTCGGCTCACTGCAACCTCCACCTCCCGGGTTCAAGTGATTCTCGTGCCTCAGCCTCCTGAGTAGCTGGGACTAGAGGCACCCTCCACCACGCCTGGTTAATTTTTGTATTTTAGTGAAGACAGGGTTTCACCACGTTGGCCAGGCTGGTCGAGGCAGGTGGATCACTTGAGGCCAGGAGTTTGAGACTGGCCTGGCCAACAGGGCAAACCCCCATCTCTACTAAAAATACAAAAATTAGCCAGGTGTGGTGGCACGTGCCTGTGGTCCCAGCTACTTGGGAGACTGAGGCAGGAGAATCACTTGAACCAGGAGGTTGCAGTGAACCAAGATCGTATCACTGCACTCCAGCCTGGGTAACACAGCGAGACTCGGTCAAAAAAAAAACAAAATCTCCTGTTCTTTACCCCCAGGTGTGAGGGGTTTCCATTCCCATGGCCATCCCCATTCTCGGGTCCCTTGAGCATTTCACTTCCCACGGACTACCATCACTTTCGTCGTCCTCACATGGGCGATATACTGACAATAGACTTCTTATGTCGGATGGAATGAGAAACAGGCTCTCTTCTTTGACATCCAATGGTGGAGGTGCATTTTCTCTCACCAAAAATGCCAGCGTCACCCACTCACCTACCTGGCTTCACCACAGTCTTCCAGACCAAAGTCCCATGTCTTTTGTCAGTAATTTCAAGTTGAATGGGTTCCTTCATCTGCCCAGCATAGAATTTCAAGAAGGGCTGGATTTCTCCAGGGCTCCTGTAGGACAATTTCAACTCCTAGAGGAAACATAGCAGTTGACTTAAGCAGTGGAGGGTGGAAAGGCCCAGCTCCCTACAGTGAACTGGCCAATGGAACTTTCCCCCTGTTATCTTCACAATGTCCTAGCTGGTTGAGAAGGAAATAGAGGGAGAGAGGTAAACATCCTTGTTTTGTTTTGTTTTGTTTTACAGAGTCTTGCTCTGTTGCCCAGGCTAGAGTGCAGTGGCACAATCTCGGCTCACTGCAACATCCGCTCCCAGGTTCAAGTGATTCTCCTGCCTCAGCTTCCTAAGTAGCTGAGATTGCAGGTGCACACCACCGTGCCCAGCTAATTTTTGTATTTTTAGTAGAGATGGGGTTTCACCGAATTGGCCAGGCTAGTCTGGAACTCCTGACCTCGTGATCTGCCCCCCTTGGCCTCCCAAAGTGTTAGGATTACAGGCATAAGCCACCGCACCCAGTCGGTAAACATCCTTTTAAATTGAAAATGTTAGGAAATAATTTTATTCTGTGAAAGCAAGAGTAAACTAGCTCTCAACACCCCATGAATCAGAGAAAAATGATCTGAGCTGAGTACAAAAATCTTAGGTGTTGGCTGGGCACGGTGCCTCATGCCTGTAATCCCAGCACTTTGGGAGGCCGAGGTGGGTGGATCACCTGAGGTCAGGAGTTTGAGACCAGACTAGCCAACATGATGAAACCCTGTCTCTACTAAAAATACAACAAATTAGCGGGGTGTGGTGGCGGGTGCCTGTAATCCCAGCTTCTTGGGAGGCTAAGGCAGGAGAATGGCTTTAACCCGGGAGGTAGAGGTTGCAGTGAGCCAAGATCAAGCCACTGCACTCCAGCCTGGGCGACAAGAGCGATATTCTATCTCAAAAGAAAAAAAAAAACCTTAGGTGCTGAGGCTCCCCATTAATAACTCTACTAACAGGATCTCAGACTGTAGAGAAATGTGAGAAAACTGGCAAAGGCAGCTCATCGGGTCTGTGTTGGCCTCACTGGGAAGCCAACGGTCAGATGTGGCATTGTGCTTTCACGTCCTTCTCTTCATTCTGCACCCGACTTCCCCAGGATTCCTGAGGAAAGCTGCCCTGGGGAATAGGAGCTACCCTCATAGGCAGGACAGAATTAGGAAAAGCTTAGTTCGTGCAAATCTCTAGTTTCTTTAGGAAACAAGCCCTATAACTCTCAGAAAATAGCAATTTAAAAATTCTAAAATTTGTAAAAAATACAAAAAATTAGCCAGGCATGGAGGCACACAACTGTAATCTCAGCAACTTGGGAGGGTGAGGCAGGAGCATCCCTTGAACCAAGGAGGTGGAGGTTGCCGTGAGCACAGCAGCCTGGGACACAGAGTGAGACTATCTCAAGAAAACAAACAAACAACAACAAAATCTATAATGGACTGAGATGCATTTTTTCCCATTCAAATTGGAAAACAATTAAATTTTGATACTTTATTCTAGAGATGGATATTTTGTTGGAAAATCTCGTCCTTTATTCTTGAGAACTTATATTGTGAGAAATCTTTGAAAATCTCTTTGGAAATGTACTAGCTTTAACTTGGTGAGTTCTCTTTGAATCAGTCATTTCTCTTAGGACACTCTAGCTTCACATGAAAAACATAAAACTGTATGAGTTGAAATATTTCTTGCCAGGGCACTTGTTATGAGAAATTACAAGCAGTTCATGCTGAATAATAATGAAGTGATTTAAAAAGCTCTAGGGTTTTAGCTACATGGCATTTTATGTCCTATTAAAATAACAGGGAGGAATAATTTCAATTGTGCAGAAATATACAGTAATCTCCAGTAAAAATACAAAAATGTAACATATAATATAAAATATATTTCTTTTACTTTTCTAATTTTATGTTTTTGTTTTTGAGATGGAGTCCGACTCTTTCGCCCAGGCTGGAGTGCAGTGGCACTATCTCGGCTCACTGCAAACTCCAGCTCCTGGGTTCAAGTGATTCTCCTACCTCAGCCTCCTGAGTAGCTGGGATTACAGGCGTGCACCACCACACCTGGCTAATTTTTTGTGTATTTTAGTAGAGAAGGGGTTTCACCATGTTGGTCAGGCTGGTCTCGAACTCTTGACTCATGATCTGCCTGCCATGGCCTCCCAAAGTGCTGGGATTACAGGTATGAGCCACTGAGCCCAGCCAAGATATTATATTTCTTCATTCAAACATCTCAACAAATATTTGTTAAGTGACTTAGCTAGGCAAGATGTCAGGCCTGCAGGGAACCATAACAGAGAAGTGGAAACTTCAATTTAGAAAACTGAACATACAGTTTTAATCACAAGATAAGTGCCCCAAATGCTAAAATGTTATCTCTGCCTGTGTTAAGGTTTTGGAAATATTTAATTTGATTAAGACCGTTTTCCTGTATTTTCGATTTTTTAAAACTTTGTATTTGCGATTAATGAAAAAAATTGCATCTTGCTAAAATTCTTCTATTTGTTTCAAAAGTACAAAATATTCTGAAATCCGTTGTTAGATTTGAATTCTACCAACCGTGGGTATTATTTCCAGATGAGCAGAATTAGACACAATATAATGGGCACCAAAGGTCAGGGGTTGCATTGAGGGTGAAGTCTGTAGACGCACACCACAGAAGCGCTCTTCCTCATCATCTATCATCTGAGGAATAACGGGGAGAAACATTAGAAAGCACACAGAAAAAGAAATAAGCACAAATAGTGGCATAAAAGTTTTCTATATATTGTATTGAATAGCATGTAGTATATGATTCAGTTGATGTAAAGATTGAGATGATGGGGCCAGGCATGGTGGCTCACGCCTGTAATCCCAGCACTTTGGGAGGCCGAGGCAGGTGGGTCACCTAAGGTCAGGAGTTTAAGACCAGCCTGGCCAACATGGTGAAATCCCATCTCTGCTAAAAATACAAAACTTAGCTGGGCATGGTGACTGACGTCTGTAATCCCAGCTACTTGGGAGGCTGAGGCAGGAGAATTGCTTGAACCCAGAAGGCAGAAGTTGCAGTGAGCTGAGGTCATGCCACTGCACTCCAGCCTGGGCGACAGAGTGAGACCCCATTTCAAAAAAATAGATTGAGATGATAGATAGATAGATTATATTTTTATAATCTATACATTTTATAGTCTATTAAAATTTTATAATCTATTAAATTTTAAAATCTATTATAAATAGATATATTTTAATAAAATATGCAAATAATTTATTGCTCCATAATTTTCTCAGTGGATACACCCATGTATCCAACACCCAGAAGGAGATACAGAGATAGATAGATAGGTGGTAGAGTGGCAAACTAGATAGATAGATGTAAATGTGCCTCTATGCAAAATAGATATGGTATTAACCTTTTGCTGATGGACATCTCAGAGCCAAAGGGTTTCTTGTGAATGGTAAACTTATCATAAACTCCTCTACAGTTTGATTTTATTTTTACACTGTGGAGAGTTTGGCCAGGGGACTTATAAAACCAGAGGACAAAGGGACTTCCTTTTGGTGCCTCAGCTGAGGACTGGTAGCTCGGCTGTGTCTGTGAACACATCTCTGATGGGTGAGGGTAGAGATGTCACTTCTCTCCATCACAGGGCTGCTGTGAGATGCTCGGCCACCTGAGCACCAGGGAGCAGATACAGAAGAGTGAGGTCCCCTCTGAGAGGCCCAGAAGCTGGAGCAGAAGGCGAGACCTCAGAACTATCTGAGCTGCCACCAAAGACATAGAATGGAATTCAATCAATAAGAAAACCTTTCAGAAGTCTCAGGGGCAACTCAATAGAGACTTTATAGAATTAACGAGCAAGAATTTAAACTAAAAGCAATTGACAGTAGGTGGCATTACTAGTCCAGCTGTCAGACACCCTTGGGGTAATGACTGGGAGAGTGTTCAAGGGGGCCTCAGAGAAGTTGGAGATGTTCTGTATCTTGCTGTGGGTGCTGGATACATGGGCATGTCCACTCTGAAAATTATGGAGCAATACATTATGTGCATATTATATTAATTTTAAAGTATCAGTGGTAGTAATGAAGAAAGAATGGGCAAAGCTGAAATATAAACTGGGCCTGGAATATCAAATAAAAGAAAAAAATTCAAGTTATACTGAGCAAAGGGATGAAATCATGATGGGGATTAAGCAGCGAAGGGATGTGGAGACCTATCCAGGAAGCATCACACATATGCCTACAAAGAGAACCAGCTCCAGAAGGATAAAAAGAAACTGACGGAGGAAAGACATGATGTATCCTGCCATCTCTGATAAATGATTATTTTAAATGAACCGATATATTCAATGTAAATTATAACAACAACAGATTGGAAGTATAAGAACCAAAGACATCAGTATAACATTGGCAGGGTTATCATTATGGACTGATTTCTGAAGAGGTCGAGAGACATACTACTGTACTTATTTTCAAATAATGGAATAGCATTCTTTATTTGTTAGAGTTCTTACTATATACACATATATTTTTCCCATAGCATGAACATTCCATGTAATATCTTAGGTTGTCATGTTTTTCACTATTTCTTACTGATGTATCCCCATCCCCTAAAATAGTGCCTGGAATATATAAGGCACATAATAAATATGTGTTGAATAGATATATTAGTCCATTCTCATGCTGCTGTAAAGGACTGCCCAAGACTGGGTACTTCATAAATGAAAGAAATTTAGTTGACTCACAGTTCCACATGGCTGGGGAAGCCTCACAATGATGGTGGAAGGCAAAGGAGGAGCAAAGTCACATATTACATGGCCGCAGGCAAGAGACAGCCTGTTCAGGAACTCCCCTTTATAAAACCATCAGATCTCGTGAGATTTATTTGCTATCACAAGAACAGCACAGGAAAAACCTGCCCTCATGATTCAATCACCTCCCACAACACGTGGGAATTATGGGAGCTACAATTCAAGATGAGATTTGGGTGGGGACACAGCATTACAGTAATGGAAGTATGAAAAATCAGGGTGTTATGACACCCCCAAAGGAACATAGTAATTCTCTACCAATGGATCCTGACCAAAATGAAATTTTCATCTATTGGTGCTGAATATTGAACCACATGCAACAATCTCCATAAAAATTTAGGACTACTGAGAAGGGAGCTTCCTTTTCTGGGTCTCGAGGTGGAGATGGGCAGAAGAAATAATATGCAGAGATTCTCTTACTGCATTTTATTTTATTTTATTTTATTTTAAGGTGTTATGACACCCCCAAAGGAACATTGTAATTCTCTACCAATGGATCCTAACCAAAATGAAATTTTCAAAGTGCCAGATAAACAATTCAAAAGACTGAGCTTAAAGAAGCTCAATAAGAGATGCAAGATAAATGTGAAAACCAACACAAAAAAATCTGAAAATTCATTCAGGATGTGAACTAGAGATTTACCAAGGAGACAGATATCTTAAAAAAATTAACATCTAGAAATGAAAGATTCATTGAAAATATTACAAAATACAGTGGAAAGCTTTAATCATAGACTAGAACAAGCAGAGGAGAGAACCTGAAGACAAGCCTTTTTCATTAACCCAGTCAGGCTAAAATAAAATAATAAATAAATAGAAGTATGGGGCTACATAAAGCAATGAAACTTATGAATCATCAGTATTTCCAAGGGAGAAGAAAAAGGAAAAAACTTAGAATCTAAGAGAATAAAAAAATTTTCCTAGTCTAGCAAGATATTTAAAGATCTGGATAAAGGAGGCCCAGTGATCGCCAGCAAAATACCCTGCAACATGAACTTCACCATAAGATATGGTCATCAGACTGTCTAAGGCCAAGTGAAGGGAAATATCCAAAACTCAGCAAGAGAAAAGCATCTAGTCACCTAGAAAGGAAACTCCATGCGATTAACAGTAGACATCTCAGCAGGAACCGTACTAACCCAGGAGAGAATGGAGTTCTATTTTCAAACCGCTTTAAAAAAAAACCCTGCCAACCACAGACGCCACCACGCCCGACTAATTTTTGTATTTTTAGTAGACACGGGGTTTCACCACGTTGGCCAGGTTGGTCTCCAGTTCCTGACCTCCGGTGATCCGCCCCTCTCAGCCTCCCGAAGTGCTGGGATTACAGGCGAGAGCCATCGCCTCAGCCAATTTTCTCCTGTATTTAAATTACCCACAGTAACCACCTTAAATACAGCCAGGCATGCTCTCGCCTCTTGTGATTGGGATGCAAAGATGGTAGGCACCAGGACAGTAAAGTTTAATGAAATCTTCCTGGCATAATCTTCGCACCAAGGCTGGAGGCACAGAAGCAGCATTTTATTCGGAAACACAGCAGCTATGGAGCTGCAGAAAGCAGAACATCTGCTTCATCACTAACCTAAGAGAGGGTGTGGGACCATCAGCCTTTTGTAAATGCGCTAGAGGGAGATGCCACTGAAAGGAAGGAGTTACCCTAGAGATGTGAGCAAGTGTGAGACTGTCATTCAGATATTATCCGTCTAAAATTTGGTGATAGAGGCCGGGCGTGGTGACTCATGCCTGTAAATTCAGCACTTGAGAAGCTGAGGCAGGAGGGTCACTAAAGGTCTGGAGTTCAAGACCAGCCTGGCCAACATAGTGAAACCCGTCTCTACTAAAAATACAAAAAGTTAGCCAGGCATTGCAGCGTTTGCCTGTAATCCCAGCTACTCTGGAAGGCTGAGGCAGGAGAATCGCTTAAACCCAGGAGGCGGAGGTTGTAGCGAGATCATACCACTGCATTCCAGCTTGGGTGACAGAGCAAGACCCTGTCTCAGACATAAAATAAAATAAAATGAAATTTGGTGAGAGAATCTCTGCTATTTCTTCTTCTAACCATCTCCTCCTGAGAGCCAGAAGAGGAAGGTCCCTTCTCAGTAGTCCTGAATTTCGACGGGGATTCTTGCATGTGGCTCAATATTCAGCACCTATAGGTGACCCTCGGGGAGAGTGATCCATGTTCTCTCCATGAAAACTGTGCCTTGCCCTTTCTGTTCCACTGGAGGGACCGAGGGGATAACCTGGAAATATCATTGTCATCTTCTCTGGTCTCCTAAATCGCTCAGCTTACCTTCGTCAGCAAGGCGTCGCTGGGGACAAGGTACAAGTGGAACTTAATGTCTTCGGGGTGGGGGTGAAAATAGAGCAACGTGTTGGAGGTGATGGGGATGGAGAGGCGAGTCCCCCTGGCGATCCGCAGCAGGATGCCCATCAGGGAGAAGCTGGGGTTTTCCAGGACAGCATAGAAAGGCTCCACCCGGGATGGACGCTGCAGGACCATCCCTTCATCCTTAAAATGGGCCACGAGGAACCAGGAGACATCCACCTCACCTGCCGCAGGAGAACCGCAACAGCAGTGAGACAGCACGCGCCCCGGCAGCCCCCACAGCCTCCGCTCACCCCGCATTACCTTGGAGGGAGATGAAGTGGGGGAGGTGGATTTCGGCCACAGCCTCCTCTGGCTCTGCAGTGACGGCAAACAGGGGGCCGGCCGCCAGCCACTGTTCATGGTGCTGCAGGTCCAGGGCCAGGTGCTGACTCCAGGAACCAAACGCAATCGTCACCGTGACCGCATCCCTTACCACGAAGCCGAGGCCGGTGGCTGACCACAGATACCAGCCAGCAGTGGGGAACCGAAGGCTGAAAGGAGCCAGAGTGATGTCATGATGGGAGAACCCCAGGAACTGGATTTAAGCAGCAATGTGCAGAGGGAGGTGGGATTTGAAGTGAGGCAAGTTCAGGACCCATCTGCGACTTTCACTACATTAGAAAACGCTGGGGAGTTCATTAACCTCTCTGGGCTCCAATTTCTCTGCACTCTCTATATATATATCGAAATTAAAATACCAATTTCACAGTGCATGAAATAAACATATTATTGATGAAATTTTAGCTATCATAAGGGATGGAGCCAATACACTTCGTTTATATCAGAGCTGTTTTCAAATCAGCATCTTCCATTCTTACCTGTATTTGTTTGCACTCTTATTGATCAACTCAACATCCACATTTCCTTCAGGCCCCAGAAACTGATCATATTTATAATCTTGTTTGAACATAAAATGGAGTTCAGCATAAATAGAGGAAATCATCTGATGCATTTCTGAGTAAACAGCTCCTGAAAAAAAGATACTAGACACATAAGAGGTAAAGGGTTGGAAGAGGCATGGCCTGAAGGACTCCTGGAGGCTGAATTGCACAGGTGCTGTTGGGATACAGATATTGAAAGAGAACAGAGTGACCAGAATATGGAGTTTTGCTCATGACTAAAAGTATACCCCAAATTCCATAGGGCTTTCTGGGAAGCCAGGCTGGACAGCTTTGGTGGGAGGCACCGTTTGCTGAGGACTGGAACCAATGCACCTACATTTCTACTGGCCCCAAAGAGCAGATGACACCTTCTGCTGGTGAGGCAAGTCCAGGTCAGAAGAGGATCGAGCTTTTCTGCAAGGTGAAACAGTGTGCATCCTTCCTAGTCCCTGCTGCTGTCCCCAGCCACCAGGACCATCCCCTGGTTCCCCTGAGCATTTCCGTGCCCCAGCGGTGAGAGGCTTACATGTCCCCATTTAAACTGCACAGTGCACTGTGGCTGAGGTAAGGAAAATCACTCCTGATCTCTTCACTGCGCAAAAGACTCTAAATTGTCTTCTCCACATAAAACCACAGAACATTTCCATCAATCCACATGCCCTTCACTCCTCTCCCTATTAGCCCATTACCTGAAACTTGTTCTTCTGAAGATTCCTGGTCTTCTGATACGCTGGAGGTTGGGATCCTCATTTCACAAAAAGATGAAAAATATCAAGAATTAGTTGATGAAGATGAAGACGACGTTATTAAAAACTGGAGCTGCACTGTCCAGTAGAGTAGCCGCTACCCAGATGTGGTATTTAAATTTGTATGAATTACACTTAGGTAAACTTGAGTTTCTCAGTTGCACTATGCACATTTCAAGTACTCAACACCTACGTGTCACTCACGGCTGTAACACTGTGTAGCAGAAAACAGAACACTCCTATCATCACAGAAAGTTCTCTTACATAGGATGGGCCTAGACGACCAAAAAATAGAAGACATTTTGAATAAAGATATTTTTATACAGATTTCTAAATAATAGAGCTACCGTGCTGCCTTGAGCCACATGTTTCCTGACGTCTCTTCTCTTTGGACTGTGCCCATGTTCAGCGTGCACACAGCCAGCTTCTCTGGCTTAAATTGCTCCAGTTGGTATCATATGATGTTGGAATCAAAGACTGAAGCAGTAATGAACCAATGCATGAAATGCATGCATTTATATTCCAAGGTACTTCCAACCTTGACCACACCTGGGAAGCTTTAAAAACAACCCAATACCCAGGTCACAGCCCACACCAATTGAATCAGAAGTCTGGAGGTGGGACCGCAGCATCACTGCTGTCAAAGCCTCACAGGTGATTCCAATATTAGCCAACATGGGCTCCATGTTCTACAGGGTCAGTCAATGGTTCATCAGGTTAGAAGTGATGGAGTGTCCTTTAGGTCAAGATATTCACTGGCCAATATGACAGCCACTAGCCACACAGGCCTATTCACATCTTAGTTTTAAATTGTTAAATGTGAAAATCATTTGAAGTAGCCATATTTCAAGTGCTCAAAAGCCACACGTGGCTCTTGCCCGCCACCATGTAAGACATGCGTTTGCTCCTCCTTTGATTTCTGCCATGATGGTGAGGCCTCCCCAGCCATGTGAAACTAAAAGAATTTTTCTGGGGAACGGACATAGGCATGGGACGTCTGGCAACAAAATCTGCTTTGGAGAGGACCCCAGGGAACAGAGATGAGGTCTCAGGCTGCTCTTCAACTCCCAGCCCCAAGAAATCCTTCCACCATGGCCTCCCAAAGCACTGGGATTACAACTGCACTCAGCCTGAGCATTACTGTTTGATAGATATTCCCAAATCCCTCTCCACAAAAGGTTACAACAGTGAACACCTCCATCAGCTGAATATCCGTGAAAGCAATTGTTGAGAAATTCTGAAGTAAGTTCAAAACCAAACTGTAGAAAAAAGTCATTGATAAAAAAAAAAAAACAGGCTGGTCTCAACTCCTGACCTCCAGTAAATCTGCCTGCCTCACCTCCCAAAGTGCTGGGATTACAGGCGTGAGCCACCACATCTGGCCCGTATTGGGTCGTTCTTGCATTGCTATAAAGGAATACGGAGACCAGTATTTTTACAAAGTAAGAAGGTTTAATTGGCTCATGGTGCTGCAGGATGTACAAGCATGGGACCAGCTTCTGCCTTGGTTTCTTTGGAGCCCCTGGGGGAAGTAAGCTCCAAGGAAAGTGGACGTGGAACAGGCCTGCCTCATATGATGTCAGCAGGACAAGAAGAGTGAGGATGGGAGATGCCACCACCACTTTTTATTTTTTTGTTTGAGACGGAGTCTCGGCCTCTGCCACCGCAGGCTGGAGTGCCGTGGCCGGGTCTCCAGCTCACTGCAAGTTCCGCCTCCGTGTTCACACCATTTTCCCTGCCTTCCAGCCTCCGAGGTAGCTGGGACTAAGGCACCCGCTCGCACCTCGCCGGCTAGTTTTTTGTATTTCTTCAGGTAGACGAGGGTTTCACCGGTAGCCAGGAATGGTCTCGATCTCCCTGACTCGCGATCCGCCCATCTCAGCCTCCAAAGTGCTCGGATTAACAGCTTGAGCCACTCGCGGACACGACCG